ACTCAATCCCCTCATCCAGGTCATCGATACAGACGTTAAACAGGACAGGCCCCAACACCGATCCCTGGGGAACACCACTGGTGACCGGCCACCACCTGGACTTAAATGAATCTTGAATGAGATTGCTTTTGGCTTTAGTTTGCAGAACCATTTGTCAACCTCTCTCATACCTGATGTCTCAAAAGCATATTAACTTGTTTTTCAGATTTCCAGTCAGGCAACTTATTTTGCAGTTCAGTGAAGCATGTTTGTTCAAGATTCCTCTCTCCCTAGTTTGTGTTGTTCTAGACACTGTCTAAACTGATAGAGAAGACAGAATTTCTCACCTTTGACCCAAATTTACCAGCATATTTTAAAAACATACCAGTAGTTGCTATAATTGTGGGAAGGACACTGTCTTCAAGAAAAATCTTATAGAAACAGCATTCACAGTAACACATCCAAAAAACCAAGGCCATGACCTGTTAATAACGGCTGACAGTAGGTAGCAACTGCAAGGCCTGTCCACCCGGCTCTTTCTCACCTTTATCTCTGAATAAAGAAAGAGATGTTGGCATCATAATACTTCATTGTAAAAACATGCATGGGCAGAGGTGATGTTTTTCCACAGCTGGTGGAATCTGTTTTAGGATATTCGTATATTTGAGACAGGACTTGCCTATAGCTTAAGTTTCTCCCCGCCCCCAGCAGGCTATACTGTTAACTAAACAGATGAATCAGGAAACTGATGAGAATAGTAAGGGAAATAGCTCTCAAAAAATGTTTCATAATGCAAGAGACCGTTTATGATGTGAATCTAGTCCTCATCTTAAAAATGTATGATAGTACAAATGAATTCTGAGCAGTAGTGCCCTTGCAGAAATTTCACTGGGAACACTGACAGATACTGCAGTTCTAAGAAGGAAGTATGGAAAATTAACATGTCAAATCAAGTTTTAGAACCAGTATTTGTAAACTTTTTCCACAAAAATGCAACAGAAGTGAAACTACTAAAAATATGATGGAGAAGGCAGAGGTTGATACAGCCTATATTCACCAATACCTGTTTTTACAGGGAAATTTAAGAAGGAAAAGTGTTAACACAGAAAGAACCCATTAAAGCAGACTGTTATTAGATAAACAGGTGAGCCCACTGGTGAGTAACACAAGACAGACACAAGTGCCACATGAAACCCAGGCTTAATGAAAATTTAAAACTCAGAACCAATTTATTCAGAATATGCAAGAACAATTAACATCAAACATCTGTAACATCAGTATTTAAAAAAATACACCAATGTTTTAAAAGAACACAGGTCTCATTTGCCAAATTCTACTGCACATCAGTTTATTTCCCAATTTCAGAAGGGAACAGCAAGTAATTGATTATATAAAGACAAACATGTGCATACAAGGCTAACATTGGCATTTAAAGTTGTAGCAACAATATATGGAACAGAGTAATTTTTTTTTCTTTTTCTAAACAAAAATATCTACAATCAGTTTTATAAGTAAGGAATCAAGCTGATACCTGTTTAACCAGTTAAATACTTCCAGTGCAGCAAGAGAACTGTTAACATTTCAGAAAGTTTATCTAGAAAACACATTTGCTCAGCATTTGTAACTTTTCAAGCACAATGGTTTTAGTACTCAACTGACTGACTGTTGAACACTAACCACCAAGCTGGCTGGCTTCCAGAAGAAGCAAGACAAAGACTGTCAGCTAATGTCAATTTAATGCCATTTTGGCCTGTAAAGCACTGGAAGTTTAACTGAAAAATCATGAAGGCTTTTATGATACAGCCAGGAACAGTCTTTACCAGTATTGCTACCAATATTCCTCACAACCTTTACTTACTAGTATCTGCATATGGGGGTCAGTTACTCATGCATGTAATATCCTAAAGAATAGTGAACTTTCAACACAGAGTTTGTGCAAACCATCAGAAAAAGTGGGTGGAAAGTCTAGCTGGGATCTTTGACAATTTTTTTTTTGTTTTAACTTAGCCCTTAGGAGTAGGGACTTCTACTCATCTACTAAGGATCTGATATTTGATTTCCTAACACCTTCATCGTCCTTCTGGATTTTATCTTCTCCTGCTACAATCAACCCATTAAACATAAATGGATGCTGTGCTGTTTTTGCTGCCTACAGCTCGCCCATCTTTCACAAAAGTCTGTATTTGAGATTCTTGCTCCCATCTATCTTTTTGAAAAGATCACAGGTGAGAAGGACCACCTGGGAGTGTAATTGTGGCTTATGTAAAATATTTACTATTCTAAAAATACCCACCACTTTATTACCTTGCAGTAAACAGAAAAATTCTTACTTATTATAGATAGCTAGGTTTTAGGGTGGCAAAAACCACTAAAAAATACAACACAAAGGGGTCTTAAGAACAAAGATAAATTAGCAGGATTAAAAATGTATTAATTTAAAAAATTGCCTTGAAATCACAGCTCGGCAAGCATCCATCTTCTCTTGTGTTACCCAGGTTCTGCAGCAAGAACATTGGCACAAACATCCACCTACTAAAACATGAGTATTTGATTCTTTGGAACAAATGCTGTTCAGCGTGCTGACACGAATTTCAATTCCAGTTCAGAACAGGCACACAGGGAAGTAACCACAGCTAAGCAAACCCTGAGCAAAGTAGTTTTCAAGCAATGTTTTCAGCCCTGGTTTATCTTTTTGGGACAGCTTTCTGAATGGTTTTATGCAAGACAAGAATCAAGGTGTTCATTTATTTTAGACTCCAAAACCTCAGTCTGGCAAACAGGACAACTGACTTTTTTATCCTGCCTTACAGCAGTGCTGGAACTTGCAGAGGAGAATGTAGATTCAGCTTTGGTTTTTATAGGTGTATTTACACTTAAAGTGACATCAGTACTCCTTTTTTTAATAAAATAGTTTTCAAAGGCAGTTGCGTCTTCCATTTTTGGCCATTGCTGCATTGTATTAGTACACTTGGTGCTTTTTTTCTCAGATGCAACCTGAGCTGTTGCCTGCTCAAAACACATTTGTTTCGGTGGCCTGTTATAATATGGCATAACCCTCTTCCCATTTGCAGAACCTTGGTTTGGTCCTTCTTCCATAACACAAGCAATTTTAACAGGAGGTCCATCAACATTCTCGTAAGCTTTTGTATTAGCAACAGAGAGTTTCGGAAACTCACACTCTGAAGCTAAGTTGATTTTCTCACTGGCATCATCAGAATAAAGTGGAAAGAAGATGTCACTACGGGGTGACTTTTCAAATTTTATCTCACTTGTAGGGATTGGTATTGTCCTTATGGCTGAACGATGATGTGAACCAGGTATTTCATTGTTTCTAAGAGTGCTGCTGAAATCTGTGCTTTTTTCTGAGAGTCCATCGTCTTCTCCAAGCCGATATCCCTTTCCACTAAAAGGCATCACATCTTGCGTATCACGTGTTTGTGTCTTACCTGCAAAATAAGAGAAGAAAATTTAGTAATATAAATCACGGGCTTAGTATTTTACGTGCTTCACCCGAAAAATCTGCTGCCTGAAAAGAGTGCAGCAAACTAAACATTTGTAAACAACTAAGTTGAGAAGAGCCTAGAAATGCACAAATAAAATGGGCCCTGATCCTTGCTACATAACAAACAAAAAAAGCTCATGTAGTGGTTGATCTTTATTTGTTCAAGGAACTGTTTGGACAAAAACAGTTTGGAAAAGAAAAAAATAATTATTTTAAATACCTTTGTTATTTGACTCAGAATTTGGAAGTTTTGCTAGCTGGGTTTTTCCCTTTGATCTCTTAGAGAAGTTCTCTGGCTCCTTGACTTTTGTGAATGTACCTCCACATGTCTCTTGATGCTCAACCCACCAATGGTCTCGTGCAGAGGGTGCTCTATTCATCGAACGTTTCACATACCCAAAGTAAGGTTTTCTATTTTGACAGGGACCATTGCAACGCCACCAGTGCTGGTGGTACAAGTCCACCTCATCATGAAAACTATGATAGATCTAGGTTTAAAAAAAAAAAAAAAAAAGAAAAAAGTAATCATTCAGAAAGGTTCAAATTTTATATCACCAGCTCTACAGTATTTTTTAAAAACTACATTACCCTTTAATTCTTTCCATTATTACTGTGATTTTCACATTACCAGTTAAAAAAATGAATCTGGGTAAAATTTGATCAACATTTAGACACCATGAAGACAAAGCTTTAAAAAAAAGCCAGGATGTGTAGGAGTATGTTCTGGCTATCCCGTTTAAACTGCAATAAAATAATTTTGAAAATTTATCTACAGTTTCACCCTAAATGACATATGGTTTCAAATGCATTGTAAACAATACCAGCATTGTATTCTCCCTCCAGCTATTATCTTATCTTATCAGACACATTATTTTTAAATATCATCAACCCATTAGCCTTTACTAATATAAATCTTAACAAAAATAGACTGCTCTTCCCCAAATATTCTTCTGAACATGGAGTTATTCTGTCCCTGGTATCACTAAATTGTTTCAAGTTTAAAAGAAAAGTTTAAAGAAAATTACTAACAGAGGGTATACTTGAAAATTACATGACTAACAGCTCACCACATTTTCCTCAACCTGTCCCCACCTTCACCCCCAAGAAAATAACTATGGAACTCGCATGCACTTGGATGCAAATTTGTATTGGTGCAACTGTGGAGTGTCTAACAAGAACAAGTATATTACTCATACCACACCAGGCATACTGAAAAACCACATCAGGAAAAAATCCTCTATTAAATTACATTAAGTGGATTATGCTTACTGTAATATTGGCTCCAGTCAAGCGATTAATGCGATGCATGTGTTTGCAGAACTCTGGTCCATGAGATTCACGATCTTTGTCATTATTAGTAACAAAAAGCAGGGCGTGGATCATTTCATGCAACAGTGTCTGAAACAATACAAATCATTAGCTATTTACTAAAATCATTACACACATTTTCAAAATTAAGCTGGAAGTATTTTACTCCTTTACATTTATCTTGGTACTGATCTTATTTTCATGCATTCACGTGGATCATATAAACATAATACCTGTCTTACCTGTCAAATCAAATTACCTCTATTCCCATACCAGGAAAACATGCTGGAAAATACTACTACAGTATCATTTCTCCAAAAAGGAGAAAGAATCCTCAAACTTAAGTTAGATCTTTAAGAAGATCTTTAAAAGATCCCCTCTACAACCAAAGAAGAGACACTGTGAGAAGGCTGAAACTCTGCTGCATTTCTGTTCATTAAGCAAATCTGAATGTTGAGCCAACTCAAAGAAGCAGCCCTGACAGAGGCACAAGAAGCATCACAAAGTTAAGTTTACAGTCATATGCCATATCCTTATTTTCTGCAGTTTAAAAGATGAAACTACAGCCATTTTCTGATTATGCTCTCAGTCCATGTTTGTTTTTAACATTAGAGGATAATTTAGGAGTAAATTTAGTTTTTTCTTCCTTTATAAAGTCAGTAAAATAAACAAGTGACTTTAGACTCCTACTTAGTTGCCCATTTAGAAATATAAAACTGAAAGATTACTTTGATGTTGCCCAAGAAAGCAACACAAATGTAGCAATAAAGCCACCACTATTTTACAATCTACAAGTCACTGTTTATAAGAATTCCTCTATGAAAGGTAAAATGTGTGTATGGGGTGGGGGGGGAGGGCACAGGGACACACATTTCACGTGCAGATTCACGAGCAATCTTCAAATACCTCAACAAGATCCTTCCTTGGTCTTAACTTTAGGAGGGGCTCACTTAGACGAATGGAACACATTCCACCTTCTCCTTCATATCTACACACTCCAGCACAGCTGAAAGAGACATGGAAAGAAAATATGAAAATCTACTTGTTTCTGTAGTACATGAAGAAAACTGAAAATTGTAATTAAAATGCCAGCCCCTTCCAACACACACTAGGTAACTCAGAATATCAAAAAACACTTTCAGTTACTTGCAAAATTCAGTATCATTAATCAAGAAAAAAAACCCCACAAGTTCTTAGAATAAACTGTGACTAAACTAGCAAAAGTGAAACAATAATAAATTAAATCTCTTGCACCCACGTAGTTCAAAGCTGGCAAGTTTTTTTTTAAAAAATCACAATGGACTATTTAGGAGGCAAAAGACTGTTTTTACTAGCACCCCTGATGGAGTGAAATACATAAAACAGAGGCTGGAGATTCACAGCAGTCAACACTGACTTAACCACTGGTCACTGCAATTTCACCCCTCACTCTTCCCCAGCTTTTGACTCTTACTGAACCTTTAACTATCATGACTTATGCATAGTAATTCGTCAGAAAACGTCTCCTTTTTTTTCTCAGTATTGACTAAGCTCTCACCAGCTCAGGATCCAAATATTTTCAATTGTCTAAGGAGGACTACAGCCAGCAAAGGACAAGAGGGGGCAGGACTCCAGCAGCCAGCAATTTTTAATCTCAGTTATCTTGTATATTCCCCTTCCTAGTCTATGCTAAGTGTTGTTATAGTAATTTCATATTTGCCTGACATATTATAAAACTGACACAAAAACTGAGAACAAGACAAATAACTGCGATACAAGTATGCTCATTCAAGTCTTGACACAAACAGTTTAAGACCAAGTTACTTATTCCACTTCAAGATGACTCTCCAGTTTTGCAGTTTTGCCTGCACCACGGGAAAAGCCATTTATGGCCGCCAAAGGTGACAAATGAAGGACACAACAAATGATGACAGTGACCAACCCACACCCCGGGGTACAAACCAGAAAAGCGGGACATTCAAATACCTGGAAGAGAAGCTGTGGCACTAGTAGGTCATGCCTGTGAAGCCACGAGTAAGGAGCAGCACAGCGTGACGAGTGACAGCTTTTCCTCCCCAAAGCCCACATCTTTAGGATGATGCGAGCTGC